TCGAGCAGGTGGCTGCACGTGGCTTTGATGCTATTTGCCTTTCAGGCAATCTAAAAATCAAACCAGTACCCAGCACCATAAAATCAGCTTACATTACTTAGTGGGAACTCAGTGAAGAAGAATAATGAACAATGAGCTTCCTGTGGCTTGCGCATGCTGCTGAGGAAGTCTAGGTGATGCAGGTATGATAAGGTTAGATAGCTAATTAGTCCATAGGGTGCAATAGTATAATTTTGAGTATTCATATCAGTAACATGACACTCATTACTGAAAAATATTTACACCAAGTGGCTTCCTTCTTAGAAAGTTTTAACTCAGACACACAGAGGTCACCACAGAGAGCAGACAGGGGTGGTGGTGTGGTGGAGGTTAAATCCCTCTTACCACCTCCATCTTCAGAAAACCACTCATGACCTGATTCCTATCTTCATGTTCACAAAGTGCAGCCAGGACATCCTTTGCTCGTAGGCTCATTAAACGGGGCTCTAGGCTTGGGCCCTTCACTTGTCATCAAAACTGCTACTAAGAAAGCCATCCACTGCTCCCAGTAAGAGAAACAAGACATGGGCCTAAAATACAGAGGAGGAAGAGCAGCGGGGTACAGCTGCTTTTAGAAGCACACATCTGCTACTAGAATCAACATTTTTACTCTCTCTCTGTGTAATGCAGTTTAAAATCACAAGTTTTAAACCTCACAAAGTAGAGAAGAGCCACTGGACGGTGTTATAAGGCAAAGAGCATGCAGAGCAGCTGGCTGCAACTCTCCTGCTTTTGGAGGACTATTAATATCCAAGTAATTGAGAGAGAAGGGTCGGACAGAGGACAGCACGGACCAAATCTGAATCTCAACATTGCTATTATACTTTCTGGGGTATTTAAGAAAAGACAGACAGTTGTAGCTGTTTCTAGAAAGAGCATAGTGATGAAGAGGCTGAAGATTGACTCTTTTCCTTAAGACCTAAATTGGAATTTAGCTCATCTTTCAAAAAGGGCAAAATACAGAAGGAGAGGTGTCACTAAAATGTAAGTAGAACTGAGCTCAGCAGTTGCAGCAACACATCCTAGAACAGTAAGATACAGCTGAAAATCTCAAACATGCTGAGACTATGGCCAATTTTTAGATGGTAGCTCACACAACGGATAGGCTATTTATGTGCTGATGTTTTCTCAACAGTTTTTAAAGGTTAAACAGATTTTGTACCAATTCATGTTGCTCTGACAATTTTATGAGAACAAAAATTAAAAGAACACAATTCTAACTACTGTTCCAAAAAGTTTGCTCAGGGTTTAGCATCAAGCCACATATACCACAGTACTGGTTTTCAGATGGTGACATGCAACTGTTCCCAGAACCTTCAGCCACTTACGCTGCTGTAGTTCACTAAATTCATTTTATTTAAATAACCAAGAAGAATTGATACATATTTGATTGAGCACTTTATAAGACAGTGGGAGATTTACTGCAGCAAGTCATAGTTTTAAATACAAAAGGAGAATTAGTAAAAAGTTAGGTTCATATCCAACATAAAACATGAACATGTTGCTTTCAGGAGCTTTGAATTTTAAAGACTGAGAACTCTACTTACATCAAACAGTTTAAACACATCCACATCACAAAATCTTAGTATTGCACTATGGCTCCTCGTCCAAAACACACAACGCACAATGTGCTTCTGCATTACCCACGTACAAAGGACCACCAGCAACACATCAGCACAGCCAGACAGAAACAATCTAGAAAAGGTCAGAGGGGCTGTAGGTTTGCTGGGAGACGTACGGCAGTAAAATCGACCAGTTGGGACCACCAGTACCCAACACAAGCCCTTTTTTTTGCTGGTAATGCAACAGACATTAGAATTGCAGCTGTGCTACTGTCCTACGCAGAGGTAGCACAATACTATGGCTTTAAAGGCTTTCTTTTAAATAAGGCTTGTCTTACCTGAAAGCCATATAATAACCGAAGAGCTCTTTAATGCTAGCACAAAGTACAGTGTGGCAGCACGTAGGGATCCGCTTGTTTAGCAGCGGCTGCCAAATCCAAGTAGGTACATTACTTCTTTGAAACCAGCCGCAGCACACAGAGCTCCGTGCAAAGGTAGTCACACCAGTTACTTCTTTCTCCCCCTCCTCCTCAGCCGTACAGAGAACACTGCGGTCGAGAATACAATAGCGGGTGACACAGATGAACTGGAAGTCCTACCTAGCTATAAAAGAGGTCCTGCTTTGTCCAAAGAGACAACCCGGAAGAGGTGACAGGCAAAACGTTTCATTTACATGGACAATATGGAAAAACAAGTGAGTGTGTCACATTTGTGAAAGATACACACTACCACTGTGGTGCTTCAACCCCCCTCACCCCACCTTGCATCTAGAATTCGAGACAAAGGTCACTTTAATCTTCATTGAAGGTAGGGGCAGGGGGATGATGATATTAAAGCTGAATGCTACTCTCCCCAAACAGCACAGCAACAAACCAAGACAGCTTTCCAATATACAAACGTTTCCTCTTCTTTTGCCTGTTCCAGTCCACTTCAGCATCTTATCCTTAATCAAAGTTCAGCCACAGCGTGCGTAGGGAGAACAACTTTTCATCGCATTTACATCTGCCTCGCTTCGGCCGTCAGGCGCTTGGTTCTGCTGAGGCACTCAGGTGCTGCTGTAACACCAGTGGGACTGACTTCTCGAGTCGGGTTTGGAAGACAGCACAACTAATATTGCATTTAATAGTACGAACATGTTGGTTGAAACAAATTCCATACATACAAACGTTACAAAACAACATCCACAAACCATTACAAAAATGGAACCAGCTTCACTGATCTTCAGTCCAAACTCCAAGGTGGATTTTTTCATCACTAAGGACAAAACAACTGAGAAATAGAAATTAAACTAACATTTAGCTTACCTACCATTACGTTTCTTATAAAAAAAACAACAAAAAAAGTGTTAAGTCATTATTAATTTATGAATACATAAAAAATTCAGAATCCCTAACAATTACAGTACCCCCTCATACTAAGCCTGTTTGTAGTTTCGTTTCCATCAGTGCCAAGTAACAATCCCAGACATCAGTGTTGAGCTGGCTAACCAAGACATCTCAGGCTGAACAGAGCAACCTCTGTTTTTGCTGTGAAGACAAAAAAGTGTTAAGTCATTATTAATTTATGAATACATAAAAAATTCAGAATCCCTAACAATTACAGTACCCCCTCATACTAAGCCTGTTTGTAGTTTCGTTTCCATCAGTGCCAAGTAACAATCCCAGACATCAGTGTTGAGCTGGCTAACCAAGACATCTCAGGCTGAACAGAGCACCCTCTGTTTTTGCTGTGAAGACACAGCCAATATCAGTGGCCAGCCACCACCTGGTCCAGATTAACCAGACTCATTAAAAGAAAAACAAACCCAACCTTTTCCAGGGCAGAATGCCCCAAGAGGCCTCACTTCAATCCCAGACCTGAGACGGCCGCTCCCAGCAGAGCAATACTTCAGAATGCAGTGGGGCCATCACTTTGTTACTGACAGGGTTCTGTTTCCCATCCCTGTACAGCACAGTGCTAGTTCTTTCCTGCTGCCAGCTTCTGTTGCATTCAATGCATGTCACTTGTTACTCATGATAGAAATTTTTTGTTCTTCTTGTTCCTTGTGTGTTTTTTTTTTTTTAATAAATAATGAAAGTCTATAACATGCTTTTTCAGGTACATGATTTCTGATTATTATACAACAAGTAGTCTGTAAACCAGTTTGGCCTCTGAGGAACTGTCAGGCTATCGCGACGGTTGATTTAAGAGCAGCACCTTGCGTCGAGCGCAGTGAAGGCAGCGGAGAGGCAT